TTTAGTTCAGTCGGGAATTGAGAAATAGTGTGTGAGTATGCATATTTTTATGAATGTCAGCTGGCCAGCTAAGTATAAGAGATAAGTGTATTTTGATTTTTCCCTCGTTTTAAATGAAAATGTTTTAGGTTTTAATGCAAGATTTGAGTGAATATAAATTTTAAAATGATTGTTGTTTTGTGTTTGATATAATGTATGTGGGTTATACTAGGGGTGTTTAGAAAAAGTAAATTGAGAATAGAATTGGGTTTTGCGATTTTTGGGAAAATTTGGGATTTTACGGTTTTGGGGAAAGATCGCCCGGGCTGGTGTTTTGTTGTTGTTATGGATTATTGATTATGAATTTGATTTTGATCTCACAGCATGGGGATATGGATTTGGGCTGTGGGAGCACCCCCAGCGAGGGTTCTGGTGCTCTGAGTGAGACCGTTGAAGCGTGATACATCACATACAAGCTGATTGCTATCACGCTATCCATTTGGAAGCTTTGGTTGTTGATTATGTTATATGTATTTTAGTGAAATTTTGTGGATTTCACGCTAGAGCCGGTACTTTTTACCACATTGTACCGCCGCTAATGTGAGGTTTTGGAGCAGATATCCGCTCCCGATGCCTGCTCAAAAACTTCCGCCATCAGTAAGCGTCGCGCGACGTTGTGTGTTGTTTGGTTTTTATTGCTGATGGTAATTTCCTTCTGAAATTATAAGCGGGCGCGATGCTGCTTCAGGTCTTTTATTGGATAGGCAAGGTGCTATGGGCATCTAGCACCGTTTGGAGCCTAGGAACACCGGGGAAACAAGCATTCCGACGACTCACTTCTTGTTTTTATATTGAGAAGCGCACTTGCTGTACACGGTTTAATAGTAATAGAAATAGTTAGACTAAGATAAAAGTAAAATTAGGTTTATGTTTGCGTTTAATAGAGTTGGGACCGCCGAATTCAAAACAGTCAGCAATTCCCGAATTTTAAAATATGTAGAGTATTCTAATTACTTATGTTCAATTTGACTTTTATTGTTCTTATTCTCGCTCTTAGTCTTACTCTTGCAATGCTTTTCTTTTGTTGTATTTTTTCTGTTTTTACATTGTTGAAGTAAACATTGTTGTTAATAAGTATGTAACTAGGTTTAGGTTGATAAAGAAACAAATGCGTTTATGTTTTACACAAGTCAAATATTTATGTTAAATGTAAATTTGTTGTAGTTATAATGTCATTATTTTAAGTTTTAGAATCTATTGTTAGAATAGATTAAAAAGTTGTCGATAAAAATATTATGAGATAGTGTTATTTTTTTAAATTTTATAGAAGTAAGTGCTAAGTGTAGATAAGTTTCTGTTCATTTTCTGAGTGTTTATGTTATTTACTTTTATAATGTTTGATAATTTTTAATACTTGATAAGTTCGAATATTTTTTTCATTAAATTTGATATGTTTAATTAACTTTGATCGATTTTGTTATTATATTTGAATGTAGTTTATGTAGGTAGTAATAAAAGCAATAAGGTTAGATCAAAGTTTTAACAAACAGTGAATAAGTAAAGTGGACTAAGTGATGTTTTTTTTTTGTTTGTTATGACACTTTTTGGACAAATACACTAAACTGTTAATGTAATCTTACTTTTGGTTGAAATCTGTTGTGAAGTAATTTTGTGTAACAGTGCAAGAAAAAATTTAACGCGTGTACAACTACATTACTGAAACATCGCGACCCGAATTGTGTATCAGGGTGCTAGAGGTCGACGCCTGTGCAGATGCTATGCCGGATTTAGGAAAGTCTGAGCCTACGAGAGAAGAGCAGACCGCAGATCGGACAAGTGGGAATGCGCCATCGATGTTTTATCCGGGTTCCAAATGCGCCACCTAGGTTCCGGAGCAGAGAAAGCTGGTGCAGCACCAGGGATGGAGTTTTGAAAGATCGAGGGCGATCTTTAGAGGAGGTGGGGTAGTGTTACGAATGTGTGAGTGAGGACCCACACACGGATGTAAAATAACACATTACTACCCCTCTCCCTATGCGTGTAAACCATGTCCCTGATGAGGAATGTGTCCGCAGGCTGAGGGTGGTCGTCTGCATTTAACAGCCAAAGGAGTCGGTCGTAGGCCCTCAGGGGTGTCGGTTCGAAAGATACCGTTCTTAAGTATAAGTCGAAGGGATGAGCGCGGTGCAGTGCGCGCAATGTTTTATCAAATTAATGTTGGTGATAATGTAAGTTAAAATAATGTTATGGGGGGCAGCGTGTCGGAAGCTGCCCCAAACCGAAGATAGACTTGGTGTAATTATGAAATGTGATTAGTGTGATGCGAATCGGGATCCCGATGTATGGACATGTGATGGACACTGGTTGCGCCGTGGGTACAGAGATAAGTTTAGATTTAAGTTGTAGAGTTCAGATTGATCAAGTAGGGAATAAGTATGTAAATATATAAATATAGAATATTGTTTAGTTAAGTTACGAACAAACGCCTCTCATTACTTGTAGTTGTAAATTTAAATAACCTTTCAGCAGTACGCGATAAAAGGTAACAGTGAGTTTAACTGACTAACAATAAAATGAGGATTATAAATGAAAGAATTAAAAAAGGAATTCGTAACAAATAAAAGGAATCCGTAACAATATATATATATATATACGAGGTGTGTTCAAAAAGTACCCGGAATTTTTAAATTTCGCGGGTCTGGAGTGTCTGATTGTCAAAATTTTTTTTTTATTGTGTTGGTATACATGCCCCTAAAGTATGATGAAATTTTCAGCTATATTCACTGTTTACTTTGTCTGTGGTAGTCGCTAAGGTTCGACGTGTTTTTCTGAGCTCGGCGATTTTTACAATGGAAGAATTGAAAAGTCAAAGAATTTGTATTAAATTTTGCGTAAAAAATGAAATAAAGTGTAACAAAGTGTGTGAAATGTTACAAAAAGCCTATGGTGAGTCTGCTATGAAAAAAACAAGTGTTTACGAGTGGTATAAGCGTTTCCAAGATGGCCGCGAAGACGTTGAAGATGACGAACGCTCCGGTCGACCCAGCACGTCAACAAACGATGAAAATGTGAAAGAAGTGGAAAAAATGGTTATGAATGATCGCCGAATCACAATTAGAGAAGTTGCTGATGAAGTTGGCATATCAATTGGCTCATGTCATAACATTTTTTCAAATGTTTTGGGCATGAAACGAGTGGCAGCAAAATTCATTCCAAAACTGCTAAATTTTGACCAAAAAAGCAATCGCATGAACATCGCTCAAGAGCTGTTAAATGACGTCAACAACGATCCAAGTTTGCTTGAAAGGGTCATAACTGGTGATGAAACATGGGTGTACGGTTATGATGTCGAAACCAAAGCCCAATCGGTCCCAATGGAAGAGCCCAGGTGAGCCAAGACCGAAAAAAGCACGTCAAGTTCGATCGAATGTCAAGGTTTTGCTTACTGTTTTCTTTGATTATAACGGCATAGTGCATCAAGAGTTCTTACCACAAGGTCGTACGGTTAATAAGGAGTATTACCTTGAAGTGATGCGACGTTTGCGTGAAGCAATCCGAAAAAAACGCTCCGATTTATGGAAAAACAATTCATGGCTGTTGCACCACGATAACGCACCTGCTCACTCGTCGTTGCTTGTTCGTAATTTTTTGGCCAAAAACAATACCGTAGTCATGCCCCAACCTCCATATTCACCAGATATGGCTCCGTGTGACTTTTTCCTATTCCCAAAGTTGAAAAGACCCATGAAAGGACGGCGGTTTTCCTCGATTGAAGAAATAAAGGCCGAATCGCTGAGAGTGCTCAAGGACATATCAAAAAGTGAATATCAAGGGTGCTTCGAAAATTGGAAAAAACGCTGGCATAAGTGTATTATATCTGGGGGGGACTACTTTGAAGGGGACCACATTAATGTAGACGAATAAATAAATATTTTTTTGAAAAAACGAAAATTCCGGGTACTTTTTGAACAGACCTCGTATACGTTCGATTTGAATAATTCAAAAAACATTTTACTTATATTGACTAAACGAAAAACTGCTCAAATTTTTGACAGGCAGGTTTATTGGTTATGAACTCTCTATAAAAAAAGTAAAAAAAAGAGATTTGGCGGTCAAAAATCCTTATTAGACATATGCACATCACATTATCATATCTTTTATAGAGATTTTAATAATGTGTACACATTTTGTGTCAAATATTTTGGATTCAGTACCAAGATTTTTAATTTTAAAATTCACGTATATGATTCAAACAAATGTTCTCGATATTTTCGAAAGTATCGAATAATCCATTTGAATAATTCAAAAAACATTCCATTCGCATTGATAAGGAGACGTGCTGATTAGTTTTTGGTGAAGGCAAATCTAGCCTACGGGGCGAAAAGAGCCAAAAATCGTAATTCAGTTTTAGAGAAAACGGAGCGTCCGATTTGAATAATTCAAAGAACATTTTATTTGTATTGACTAAACGAAGAACTGTTTTAATTTTTGAAAAGGCAGGTCCGGCGGTTATAAACTCTCAATAAAAAAAAAGTTGAAAAAATGCTATTTGGCGGTCAAAAATATTCATTAGACATATGCATATCAAATTATCAGATATCTTAATAATGTGCGCACATTTTGTGTCAATTTTTTTGGGTTACGTACCAAGATTTTTAATTGTAAAGTTTACTTATATGGTTCAAATATATGTCCTCGACATTTTCGACAGTATGGAATAACCGATTTGTATTAATGAAAAAACATTCGGTTCGTAAAATTTTGAAAAAATTTCATGATTATCAAAAAATCAAATTTAAAAGAAAATTGAACAAATTTTTCGTAAACATACACATAAGTTGTTTGTAGAATACGCTCGTCGTCCAATATAATAAGCACTTATTTTACAGTATGTATTTATAATAAAAAATCTATTTGAAATTATTTAAAACAATTATTGATTATTTTCATTCCTCGAGTTTTTAATTAAGGCACGATGCCATACACCACTAGTTAAATCTTGTATTAAAGTTTTCACTTACTTGGTGGCTCTATAGAATATTGCACAGCCATCGACATATTTTCTATCATTCTCAGACATAGTTTTTGCGCGCGATTTGGGAGAGAAAATTCCATCGTATCCTTCCAGTTTCAACTCGGGCAAAAAGAAATTATAAAATTGGTCCGTCTCAACTTCTTGCAGGCTGATGATGTCCGCTGCGTAATGCCGAATCTCGTCCAGAATACCCTTTTTGCGATACTCCCAAGCCAGAGCCCAGCTCGGGCAATAGCCATACATCTGGCGGGTGGCGTATTTATCGCATAATACGTTGTAGCACATCACAGTCAAAATACCTACGATGGAAAATTATAAAAGATTTATTAGATAAATGAGTGTTTTAGTATTATAATAAAAGAAGTCATTAAGACCTCTCTACAACTTTCTCCTTTATGGTTACGCCAAAAATTGAGTTTGAAAAAGGGGCCACTTTGGCATATTTTCAATGATATCTTGGCCATAAGGTGAGATACAAAGTTGAAGTTTGGTATATCGGATGTTTTCAAAATGACCTTCAAAATCGCATATAAATTATTCAAATACAAGAGTATTAGTCGATTATGTATGGCAATGCGCCCACACCCTTGCGCATCGTGGCTATTATGTACTCGTCTGGCAGACCCTTGCAACCGTCAGAATGGGCTGGCTTTTTACATATGCTTTCTGAACAGTTAAAAGAATACACCCTCAAAATATGAGTCTTGTGCGAGCAAGTTATAATTTTTTTTTTTTAAATTTTCTCAAATTGAAGGGATGATGACGCAATCGCGGAAAGACTGCCAGACTGGTACTTTCTTAATGAATCGATAATAAAATATCACTAAAAAAATTTCTAGCTTTGAGAAAACAGGTTAGTCAAATAGTTCACTGGCTCTTCGACTACCACGTTTGACCACGAGATTATCCTCCTATGTTTCTTTCCTCAGTAATACTTTAAATGCATTTTTCTTAAAACTGTCTTTTTCGATACGATACCCACGATTTATCAATTTCTACTAGACAGAGTCTTTTAAAATTTTTACAAAGTTCTTTATAGACTTCTTATCAGTATGAACTATACTCATACTCAAATTCCTATTTTTACCATTTAAAAAAAAATCGAGAACATCAAAAAAAAGTTTTAAAACCTTTTTTCTGACAGTCGCTATTTTGTGAAACATTTTGTTTTTACTTGTCCCTAAAGTTTATACGAATGCGATATTATTCCAATTTAATAATGATCTTTTCTTTATTTTTTATGGAATTATTTGGAGGGCTAATTGCAGGGGTTTGATCACGTACCTCTTTTTTTAAGACACTCCACTTCAACACCTGCTAGAATTAAAACTTTTTGACTGTTTTTATTTTTAATTTTTTTTCTGTATTCTTAAAACATTAATTAATATAAGGTGATCATATTTTGTCAAGTCAAAACCGGGACGGTAATTTTAATTGTGATAATCCGGGACCGGGGTGGAGGGTATTTCAAAATAACAAATACTATTTAAGAATGCAATAAAAATCAGTCTCTTTCAAATAAGTTTTTAGATCAGAATTACTGACTAAGAACTTTATTATTCGATCATATGTAATATTTTATCTTATACTTTTGGATCTATATGTTTTTTCAGATTTCAAACTTAAAATTTTGTCCAATTTTCTTCATAATTATTTAAATATAGTTAGCACTTATTCCAGGCAGCCAAGAAGTTCATTTTCATAATTTTTCGTAAAATTGAAAATGAAAGTTCAAAATTAGGAATGTGAGAGACTATTTTAACCCGCCTTTTTCATATAAGCATACTAGTTGTACATAACATTTGCAGATATTTGATGGGTAGTTGTAATTTTATTATCAAGTACAAGCAAAGGTTCAATTTAGACCTATACTTTTCTAAAACCCGAGACAATCCGGGGCAAAAGATCTAAATTCGGTACAAAAGATCTAAATCCGGGACAAGTTTTTCTTGTAGAAAAACCCGGGACACAAGGCGAAATCCGGGACTGTCCCGGCCAAACAGGGATGTATGGTCACGTTAATTAATAGTTTATAAAAGACAGATTGCAAAAATATTATTGTTTGCCTTATTCTTACGACTTTTGGAAATCAAAAAACATGACTAGAATAACTCCATAAACAAAAAGTAAATAGATTTAATCTATATTTCAAAAAAATATTTTGCTTGTTTATTCGTCTCGAGTGTCGATATTTTCTTATTTTTTGTTCCATTTATTTCAGTTTGTTAGTTGTATATTTCTATTGACGATAAAATAGAATGTACCAAAACGTTTATACTATAAATCATAATTAAAAATGGTAAAAAAATCATAAAAGTTTAGAAAAATGTACAGCACTTTAAAACATACAATAGCACTATAATTAATAGAATTACAGATATCATATGTCTGAATGATATATTGAAGATAAAGATATATATATATATATATATATATATATATATATATATATCAATAAAACAAAAACTTCATTTTCGAAATAACCATAGTAAAATGTATCTAATTGTAAGTAGCTAAACCTCATAATTGATAACTAGCTGTCACGGAAAACGTTGTTTTACCATATAAGGTATACAATTTCTAGAGAATCCAAAAAATACTAATTTATTGTAAGTGTGTAAAGATGTTTTGTTGAGTGGTATAGATAATGAGATAATATAGAACAATAAAACGTGTGTTCCAAAATTATTATTGGTTTTATCAATCACCTTATTTAAATTGTTGTTTGTTATAACCCGAAATAAGTGATTAGACAAAATATCCCCTTCGATCGATTCCAAATTAAATTTTAATTTAAATAATCAAATAAATAATATTTTAATTTAGAAAACAAATGAGTATAAAATGATACAAATGAGTACTTTTAGAGAAGAAAGTTTGAAAATAATATGGTTTGCAAAATAAGAGTGCAAGGAATTTATATCTAGACAAAAAGTGTATTTTCATATTAACATTCAAACAAAGTTGATATTTTGAATTTCTAATAACACTTGCCACTCGTTTAATGATATTTTGTATACAAAAATAAAAAAAAACAACTTACTACAATTAAATAATATTCATCTAAAACATTCTATAAAATTTAATTGGTCAAATCTATCAAAACTATCTGATATTCGACTTTTTTATTTTCTTTGAATCAAAATGTAAAATTCCTGATCGCTTTTGATGTAATTTCTCACCTTTCCCACAATCTCTGGATTGCAACGAATATATCAAGACTAAAACTGGCCAAATCGTTCAGCCGTTTTCAAGTTTTAGCATACCTAACATAAGGGGGCGTCCATTAATCACGTGAGCCAGTTTTTAAGGATTTTTGGACCCCCTCTTACCCTTGGTGATATTCAAAATTACCCCCTTCCCTCCCCCACCAAACATCACGTGTATTTTAAGGTACGTGAACAAACAGTAAAATTTTTGATTTTTTTTTGAAAATGTTTAAAAAAAAGTTAGTTAAAAAATAAAAACACGTGATATCTTACTATACCACTCCCTCCCTCACGTGATATTTCGTGACTTTTTGTCAAACCCCCCTCGCCCTAAAAACCTCACGTGATTAATGGACGCCCCCTAATATCGAGCTCCATTTTTATATAAGATTTCATTATATCGAGAAGTTTTTGCAACTTGCCTAAACAATATTATTGTATGTTAACGCCAATGGTTTTTTATAGTTTCAAACTACCGTAAAACAAAATCACTTTTTATTAATAAAAATTATTCTTGTCTGTTGAAAAATAGATTACCATTTATAATTTACTTACAGGTTGGTCGAGAACGGATAGGACGAGCCAGAGGAATCCAAGGGCGCTGTGGAGGTTGCGTCGCCGTAACTAAAACAATAAATATAATAATATTAACTACAATTATAATAATAAATGGCATAAATAAAATATATAACATTAATAAGTGTTCAAATATGTGACAACAACAGAAATTTACAGAAAATTTTGTATATTAGTAATTAACATATAATAAAATATTAATGAACTGTTATTTTGAATGTTTAAAGCCAATTCTATTTAATACCAATCGTTGTCAAATATGCTCAGCAGCTAAGAAAAAAAAATTTCGTAATAATTCATAGAAATTTAAAATATTTAATTGACGATTAAATATAATAATAAATACAGAGTGTCCCAGATATTGACGTCAAACCGAAACGGAGTGATAATATTATATACAGAGTCCTGAACAAAATTAGAAAAAAAATTATGTGACTTTGTTTAAAAATTTTATGAAATAGTTTTTATGCTTTGGGTAAATTTTTAATTCTAAAAATGCGCATATAAAAACACATATAACTCTAAATTATCACCTTCTTACCACAAACCTCTATTTCGTTAGAAATATTATAATAATTACACAATTTTTTATCTCGATTTCTGTCAGTGACGTTTTTTACTAAACTTCGATTGAGATTTTTTGAACTTATGGAAAAGCTCAATTTTCCGTAGAATAATTAATTTTATCTGCCCATTTTTTTTTAATATATTGAATCATTTTTTTTAATGCGAGTTTGCAGAATACATGCAATTTGCACCTTCCTGTCACACTTCACAATTTCTGCCAATTGGGAGATGTACTGAACATATTTCGATAGTTAGTTGTTTGATATTTATGTTTTAGGTTTAATAGTCAAAAAATACTGTTATGCTTATAAGCTTCATATATTGCGACAATGAATGGGATATTTTACTCGATGATGCATCTAATACAGCTCAACAATCAATCACGAGAGATACGTGTGCTATTTTCCATCTTAATAACTAGATGTGACAAAATCGCATTTTTGTTAAGATATTTATTTATATGTACATATAACACAACAGTGCGTGATCGGGTACAGATAGTATATAATAAAATATTTACAACAATTACAGTCCACACTACATAGATCAACTTATATGCGGCATAAGATGAAAACTGTCGATGTACAATTAAATTTTATTATACAAAGTTATCCTCGAACCAGTTTGGACGTATGGCATCCACTTATGGGGTGCTGCTAAAATCAGAGTCATACAGATAATGCAACGCTTCCAAAATAAAATACTCAGACAAGCAATATCCGCGTCAAGGTATGTACCGACATAGTTAATTCATCAAGGCACCGATACACTCACAATCAGTGAAGAAATGAAAATCACCTAAATGAACTGATAGCAAGTCTTTACAATACCACATATAATATAAGACTAAAAATAAAGCATTTAATAGATCTAACACTTTAATCAATAATAAGTTGTTCTACCATATTATCTATAATATGGATAGGTGTGTGCAGGGCCGGATTTAGAAGTTTGGCGCCCTGGGGCAGTGACAAAAATGCCGCCCCACCCCTAATTTTTTACTTAAAATAGTTTATATATATATATCATTTTTCTAAAATTAAAATAACTGTTTGATTGCAGAAAATTTATTACGCATTATATAGTGTTAATAGTGGTGCTTGGCATCGTGCCTTAAGATAAATTGCTGAAACTTCCCGTACTAAAAATTAAAATTTAAAAAAAAAAATAAAGCGATCGGCCTGCTTTAGCTGCGTACAGACAAAATAAAGAAGCGCGTAAGCGCCGCCTCGCAGAATTAGAGATAAATAATTTTACAGAACCCATAGAAATGTAAACAAAATTTATATTATTAAAATATCTGATAATTTGATGTGCATATGGCTAATGATCATTTTTGACCGTCAAATGTTTCTCTTTCAAATTTTTTCATTGGATCACCAAAACCGCTAGACCTGCCTCCCACAAATTTAATCAGTTCTCCATTTTGTCTATATATGTAAATTTCTTTTAATGATATTGGACGTTTCGTTTCTCAAAAAATGAATTATTATTTTTGGCATTTTGGCCCGTATTTCCGAAACAGTTGGACCTATCTTGGCCAATAACTAATCAGCACGTCTCGCTATCAATAGAAATCAAATTATTCAAATAAAATTTAATTTTGATAAATTTAATAAATGAAATTTAATAATTTTCAAAAAAAATTCGAAATATAAAAAAAAGTTTTTTTTTAATTCAATTTTTATCATTTTTCAAAAAATTTTAAAGCTTTTTATAAAATGCAATTTTCAGTACGGAAAGTTTCAGTAACTTGCCGTAAGACACAATGCCATGCGTCACTAATTTAATTTTTTCGGCGCTATGAGCTTGGAAGTGCACAAATTCGTCATCTTAAGAGAGCTCGATATCTGAAGAACATATTTTTCTTAAACTTTCAACTCACTTACGAATCTTTATATTAGCCAAATTGCCAAATTTTGCATTGCATTTGTATGTTTTGTTAATTATATTTCTTGAAATTAAAAATGTTATTAAAAAAACGAGTTAATTATATGGTAAAGAATTTTCTTCTCACTATCCAAATTTTGCCGCCCCCGAAAATTTGCCGCCCTGGGCAGTTGCCCCGACTGCCCCTACTGTATTTCCAGCACTGGGTGTGTGTATGTATTTGTATATGTAGTCTGTGTAATATACTTTGTTTATAATTGTATGTATATATTTAAGTTTCTTTTTTTCTATACAATACCAAAATTTGAATAAGATACAATTTAGTACATTAATAAAAGGTGGACCACTGGGTTTTCCTTTTAGAATTCTATGTTATTTGTCAAACTAATTACTCAATGACTTTCTATTTAGACAGATTGTAATTTATAAGAAAATAGAAAAAAAATTTTTTGCAACATGAAAGTGCATTTAATATATGCTGCAATAGACATTAGATTATTTGTGAACTTCTCATAATAAAAACAATAGATCAAATACAGAATGTATTGTCATTTTATCTACGTACAAACAAATTATGTTATGTATTATACTTGAACAATTTAATCCCAGCGACACCATTGTATATAATTGCGTCTATAAGCAAAAGCAGCGGCTATCTACTATTTTCTGTAAACCATTCTCAGACTATTCAACATCAGAAGCTGACTTAATATTAAAGGTATTCATCATTTATATTGTCACCTTGGGCTCGTAGACTAATAGACGCTGTCTTTATTCAATTTCATAATAATAGATAGGAACTCCTGTTACGACAAGATTCATTTATGCATCGTAGCGACTTTCCTACATTTAGCTGCGCGGAGCTCATAGAGATATTTTGCTCAAAACGTGTTATTGGATCATTACAAACGCGTTCATGTACATAATTTTCATATGAATATGTTTACTACTACGAATAAAGAATTTCACAAATATCATGTTTTAGATTATTGCAATTTGTATATTGCAATGATCGGTATGCGGGCAATTTTCTAGTCGAATCTGTGACATTTGCAAAATCTTACACCGTAACCTATTCAACGTAGTCTTGCACAAGAGACTTGTAGAATGGTGATCGAATGACCCAAGTCTAACTTATAATGCCAGCTGGAGTTATGTCATAATAGTACTGCGATTGCATACAGATATCAACTAGAGGAACTTCAGATGCATTTTCTTTACAGATGCATCAATTTCAATAACATACCAGTTTTATTAATGAAACACGAAAGACTACATTTTTAATAAGTAGGTATTAAATATTTAATAAATGACTCGCTGTTCCCAATCACATACCTTAAGGTTTTGCCCAAAATCTTATTAGTTTAGTTTCTCTGCCCATTTGTTAACTTCCCGTAGGGTTAGTTATAGTACTCGCAAAAAATCAAAAATGAAATTTTTTTCAAGGTCTTATGAACATTTTGGAATACCTTAGAAAAAAATTGATATATGTGTGTATGTATGTATGCTTGTGTGCATGCGTGCATGTTCGGATACATTTTTTCGTCCACGATTTCGGTAGCACGGATGAACCGATTTGATGGATTCAAAAACCTTATATTGAAGAAGAAAAAGAATTGTTTGCATTTTTGCTAAGGCAGGTTCAACGGTTTTGGAGAAACAAAGTGTAAAAAGCTATCATTTGGTGGCCAAAAATGGTCTTTGGACATATGTATATTCAAAATAATTGTTATTAATCATTGATGAATTTGAATTTTTTTTTGCATATTTTCACGTTGCAAAGTCTTATGAACATTTTGGCATACCTTAGAAAAAAAATTAATATATGTGTGTATTAGGGTGGTCCTTAATATGGACATTTTCGAATTTCCTTGCTTCCTCTCAAGGGCTCAAATGATTCCAAATTGATAAAAAACAATTCTCTGAAAACTTTAGCTCTTAAGATTAACTTTTAGATAGTGCGCAATTCAATCAAACTTCGTATGGAAATAGCATGGAAAAAATTTTGAAAATTGCGAAAAAAAATTTTTAGGTAAAACTTAGCGACAAATGAATTAAAAGTGAAAATTTGTGTCATTTTTTATTGAAAATTCGACGCTCTGCAAAATTTTTGAAATTTTTTTCATGCTATTTCCATACAAAACTTTGATTGAATTGTGCTATATCTAAAAGATAATATTAAGAACTAAAACTTTCAGAGAAATGTTTTTTATCAATTTGGAACCATTTGAGCCCTTGGGAGCAATAAAATTCGAAAATGTCCATATTAAGGACCACCCTAGTGTGTATCTGTGTGTACGTGTGTGTATGTTCGGATACATTTTTTCGTCCACGATTTCGGTAGCACGTATGAACCAATTTTAATGATTCAAAAACCATTTTACTTGTATTGACGAAGAAAAAGAACTGTTTGCATTTTTGCTAAGGCAGGCCCAACGGTTTCGGAGATACAGAAGTTATTATTTCGTGGCCAAAAATGGTCTTTGGACACACGTATATTTTAAATAATTGTTATTAATGATTGATGAATTTTTGTTGATTATTTTCATTCCGTCGATGTTCAATAACCGTATAAAAAGTTCCAGCACAAT